CTCTGAAGTCTGCTTACGATGTTTGTGTGGTTTTATATACCAAAAACAGTCCTAAATCATTGCATGACCGTTTTACAGTTTCTCTTTATTCCTTACAATTGAACAGGCTGTTCTGTTACTGTGCCTTTAAGATAGATATATGTAAATAAGCTCTGTTCTGATTGGTTGTCCTGTAGTGCCCCATTAAAAAGCAGTCCAGGCTGAAACACTACTTATAACTTCAGTGTGAGCAGGCGGAGCTAAACTGCTGTAGGCTGAATGGGTGGGGTTTAACTGCTGTAGGCTGAATGGGTGGGGCTAAACTGCTGTAGGCTGAATGGGAGGGGCTTAACTGCTGTAGGCTGAATGGGTGGGGCTAAACCGCTGTAGGCTGAATGGGAGGGTCTTAACTGCTGTAGGCTGAATGGGTGGGGCTAAACCGCTGTAAGCTGAATGGGCGGAGCTAAACTGCTGTAGCCTGAATGGGCATAAATATGTAAATGTGTTGCTTTTTGCTACACTACATAGTTCTACAGTGTACAGTAACATGGGCATGTAAAACACACACAGAGCGCCGTAGGTGATGTAGCCTTTAGTGCCGCCTCTTCAATCCACCATTCAATAAACACCAAAACACCGAACAATGTAACAACAATTGTGATAAATCAGTGTTAATCAGTGCTGCTAACTAGGAGGAGCTAGCATTAGCTTAGCTAGCATGAAGGCTCTGCTCACCACAGAGCAGCTTCAGTTCAGGCTAACTGAAGCTGCACGGACACGAGTTTAGATGATGTTATTCCAGTCTGTGGGCCGTGAGGTTGAGTGGCTGTGGGAGGAGCAGAAATTCTGCCTTCAGTTCAACTTCTGAGGTCGTAAGCACAAAAAAAAACAGCTCAGACCAGCAGAAAATCCTGATCTAAGCAGGTTTATGCTGGTCTGGTGCTGGTTTGACCAGCATCAACCAGCACCCAAAATAAAATACACCATCACTGTCACACGAAAACACACCTTTTACTTTGTGTTAAAATCCTACGATGAACAGACCAACAGAAATACGACTTACATTAACTTCCAATATGAGTTCATGATGTTTTTTGGTTCCCTGTTATCATTTTGGAGATACAAGTTTTTGCCTCGACAGCCATGATACCCTGTTTTTGCTGGTGATATTATAGATAGGATGCTTTTTTTCATTAATTTGTTTTTTTTTCTTAAACTTTAACTTTATTTTGCAGTATCTTCTTTTTTACCTTCAAACCATCTCTAAATGTTACCGTGGTGTACCATGTCAACACTGATGCGTTTAAAATTGTGGAAAAAAAACGACTTAAGCGCCATAAAATTGTAACAACATAAAAAGCAGATGATGTGTAAGATGAGTGTTTTGTCCAGTTTTACCTTAAGATGTTAGCCTGCAGCGCTTATCCAACTCGGTGGTGTTAAACCTGTTGTTTGAAAACTAAAGCTGAGCGACAGGTGTCGGAGTGACAGTGACCATGTTTACTTGTGGCCTGATAATCCATTAATAATCTGACTAATAGCTCAATCAGAATAGAATGCGTCCATGTGAACACCTCAGTCGGAATAGCCTAGTCCGATTGAGACCGTTCAGAATACAGTTTCTGTCCGAGTGAACGAGCTGGGTAATCCTGTAAATTATCAGTAAAATAGAAAAATATTTAACAGATTATTTACAGAATTACATTCCCAGTTGGACAGTTTAGGTACGTGGCTGATTCTAAATGCATCTGATGGTTCTCTAATGGGATCTAAGGTGTTCTACAGGAAACTAGTGGTCTCTATTGAAAACCATTAATCCAATTCTTGTTAGAAAGTTAAACCATTAGGTTTTAATCCTAATGGTTTTTTATGGTCCTTGTTCAGCAGGGTCGTCTCTGAAACAAGCATTCATGAATCTTCGCTGCACTCAAATGATTAAAGCGTTCAGATCTCTGTATTGTTGTTTTGACAGTTGCAATCCTTAAATGTAGGCCCTGCAGCCCCCACAGCCCCCACAGCCCCCGCCACTTCAGGCCTCCCTGTTGTAGTGTGAACAGAGGTTTTCATCAGACTGTTGAGCAGAGAGAGATATACACACCCTAAACAGCCCTAATCCATAAACGGAATGAATTCAATCAGAATGGTAAAAAAACTTCTGGCTACAAAGCCAAAAACGGACCAGCCCCTCCCTCCCTGATGGCAGTGGTCAAAACTCGAACTGCACCTCGATCCCTTTGAGCTTCGACCGCAGCTCGGCTCGACCCGCCATCCTTCAAGACGCGTGGAAGACGAGCATCAAGACTTTTCTCTGTCCTGGAGTCCAGGTGGTGGAATGAACTCCCACTGGCCGCAGACTGAAGACCGTCTCTTTATACAGCACTTAAATGAGCACTGAGTTCAGCTCTTATTGAAATGTATTGCTGTGTTTAACTCTGTTTCTTTTCTCTGGGCATCATGGGCTTTTGTTTCTAGCAGTGTCTCTCTAACCTATTGGTAACTAGCAAAGATACTTTCTCTAGGTAGACAAAGCACTTTTGTAAGTCGCTCTGGATAAGAGCGTCTGCTAAATGCTGTAAATGCAAATGTAAATTTTCATCTTATCCTCTGTTCATTTTGCTCTTGTGTTATTGTTCGCTATCCTGTGTGGTCCAGAGGAGGATGGGTTCCTCTTGGTTCCTCTCAAGGATTCTTCCTCTTGCTCTTAGAAAGTTTTTCTTGGCGCTAATGGGGGCTCAGACCTGGATTTTTCTGTAAAGATGCTTTGTGACAATGGCTGCTGTAAAAAGTGATATAAACACACACACATATGTATATATATATATGTGAATTTGACTTTGACTAATGTAAACACATCCAATGTTAATGATACTTAAATCCTGTTTTCATTGTCATTTTCTGCAGGAATAAAGCTGAAAGCCTTTCTAAGGTGGAAACTTACGTTTTTTGACTTCCTCACAGCGGTTGGTGAAGAAAATACACAATAGGCAGAAGTGGCTGAAACTGGGGCGTCTGATTTTACCGGCAGTGACACACCACAGTACAGGCTCGGTTCCGGCTAACTGATGTTCAAATCACACACGTTTGGAGGATAAACGCTCTAAGAGCACTCTGAGGCTGTGTTCAGACTGCAGGCCAATTTGATTCGTTCCTCAAATCAGATTGTCGGCTCTGTTATTTGCGAGTGGTCCGATCGAATTTGTGTGTCCAGACGTCACCAGTCTATCTGCGTGGGTTGCCGTGGTGACGACGTAGGTGCGCTCACGTAGGTGAGCTACGCTGGTGACGTGGATTTCAAACACGGATGCAGGAGAGATGGAGGAGCATCATCTCCCCTCCAAACTCCTCAGAACTCCTTTCATGTTCATGAATCTTTGGAGCTCTTCTTGAGTCCCGGCACTTCGTCACTCTGGATTGGACATCGTCGCTGAGTCCAGACTGAGACGCATCTGTAAAAATCTGATTGGGGTCTCCCAAATGTGGTTTAGATCTGATGTGCAAATTTGATTTTATGTGCTTTTTTGCTGTCCAGACTGTCTCAAATCAATCTGGATACAATCTGGATATGACAGAAATCAGGTTTGGGCTGTCAGTCTGAGCAAAGCCTGAAAACTGAACGTGTTCTGTGGAGGATGTAGCAGTTAGACTGCTAGCCTGTTAGCTTATTAGCCTGTTAGCCGTCACTGAGCTGCTGTCCTGCCTAGTTTTTCGGAGGTGTGTGATCCTGTTTTAGCAGCACATCAGCTGGAAAAAGAAAATATAAGTGTGTTTCAGCCACAGGAACCATTCGGCTCTACAGTGGAGTTCGACAGCACAGAGCGCTTCATTTTTAGATGAGCGACTCTCACAAACTGCCCCCCCAACTGATACAAGAATGAGCTGAATGTGCTTATTTGATGGACCTGAAACACGGATCTGACATCGTCATAATGTTGAAATACTGTCATTTTATAACTTTCAACTCTTTAACATCCGACATCACACGGCTTTATTTAAAGAAGCTGGGTTTTCGATGATATGGGCCCTTTAATTGACATGAATGCGGCCTGTTATTATTAACTACAGGAACGTGCAGGATTTTAGATTTGATTTCTGCCCCACAAGCAAGAAACGCTCAACCAAACACACACAGCCCACACACACATGAACAGTGAACACAGTGTAACAGCAGGTTTCCCTTCACTGCGCACATTTAAATCCAGCTAACAGAACCGAGAGAGAGAGAGAGAGAGAGAGAGAGAGAGAGAGAGAGAGAGAGAGAATGTCTTGGTGGAGGATCGACAGCGCCGTCACTGCAAGTCATCATCAAACCTCACACACACACACACCACAAAACAAGCTAATCTGAATCAGGTGTTTGGTGATATGTGTGTGTGTGTGTGTACTGATTCTCTGCTTGTCGTGATGCTCACACACACACACACACACACACACACACATGCTAGAGATGTTACTAACATCAGCCACTGCATAGCGAACACAGCGAATACATCAGAGAATACATCAATACATACAATAAAAAAGAAAAAATAGAGAAAAAAAATAATAGAGAATAAATGGAATAAATAATATAGAAAAAATACAAAAAATAAAGAGAACAAAACAAAAAAAACAGAAAAAATAGAACAATGTGAAGAATAAATGTAAAAATTCTGTTGAAAAAAAAATATTACGATAATAAATCGAATAAATAAAGGAGAAAACAATAGAGAGAGTAAATATAATAAATAATACAGAAAAAAGACAATAAATATTAGAGAATAAATGAAATAAATTATATAGAAAAGAAAAATCATAGATTGTAGAGAAAAAAGTAATAAATGATAGCAAGATGAGTAATTATGATAATTCACTCTCTCTCTCTCTCTCTCTCGCACTCTCTCTCTCTCTCACACACACACACACACACACACACACACACACACACACTGAACTGATGTCTCTATCACTAATATTTCTAATATCTCTAATATCAGTCGCTGCATTCCAGTCGTACAGAATAACAGAATGAATCTCTCTCTCACCCCCATCCCGTCCCCCAGCCACGGCCCCGACAGCCGGCAGCCCATCTCCACGGCAACGCACGGACAGAGTGTCTCAGCTTCAGCACCGAAACAGAGAGCGGAGAGACGGAGAGAGGAAGAGGAGGAGAGAGGGATGAAGAACAGCACACACACACTCTCTCTCTC